AGATTTATTTAGTGACCTGTCAAATGTGTGGCAGGATTGGCTCCGTTACAATCTAGATATGAAGCACTTTTTCTTTGTATCTAATCAGGAATCTCTACCTCTAAAGTGCATTATATTGTAAAAGATCCATTCTTACCTTGATGAGAACATATTAAAGTTAATTGGAATTACTCATGTACATCAAATAGCGATTAGACATAGGAAAAAGAAAAAGACACTGATAACACGTAGTGTGAACAGGATAGCTATGCAAGGGGCCATTGTGAGCAGTGACTTCCCTTAGAAAACAATGGCATCTGCTTTCTGTTGACTAATGTCCCATAGCATGCAATTTTATGCTACATCAACTTATCTTAAATGCATGCTGTGGAATCTCTCATTCAAATACTGTACAAGTATTCCCAAAGCACTGCCTGGTTTTCTAGCCATTGTCACTTGTATTACTGCCTAGAAGGCAAATTTCTAGTGCTGCTAGCAAAATATGAATTTGCTCTCTATATTGTATTACTTAGAAACAGGAGTATCACAATAACATGACCATTGTCCGCAATGTGGAATTTGATGGGGGTGGGGCTTCCCCAGGCAGCGCTCAGTGCTATCTGGAGCACACTGTGTGGGGCTGAAGCAGCAATTTAAAGGATCCTGGGAGTTCCTGGCCCTTTTGTATTGCCAGGCCCTGGGGCAGCCCTTGCCCCTCCTCCCCCAAAACTTACACAAACTCCCTGCATTCAGTGTCTGTCTTTTCAGTTTGTACCCAAGTCTAGCACAACAGGGGGGGGGAAGCGGGAGTTGTTGTCACTAAGGTAGGACAATAAATAAGATAATGGAATTGGTTCCAGGTTTTTGTTTGACAACAAATGTGGGGTTTATAGTTCTAATGTGGGGTTCAGATTCTTCTAGCCTTCCAAATGAAGGCAGGTTCTGAAACTAGAACAAGTAACCATATGCTGAAGGAGCAAAAATATAGACATTTGAAAGTACCTCCTAATGATAACATCCATTGAATGATGAAATAAACAGTAACCGTGGCCTAGAATGGATCACACTCAGGTTTGAGCATCCCACAAACGGGTGCTTTATTCTTTAATCAGATTCACCAGACCAGTAACAAGATGAGTTTCTGTAGCACCACAGTGGTTAATGAGAAGCCAAAACGCTGCCCCCTTTATGCCAGCCCGATTCCCATCCAGACAAATGAGTCTAATATGGTAAGAGGTTACTGCAAACCCAATTCATTGTACATTTGGTTTTACTAATCCCAAAAGATGAGACACCCCCAGATTAATATACATATAGGATCTTACCCAAATGTCATGCTGTCAGCCAATTCTTAGTAAATTAAAGATTTTACTAATAAAAGAAAAATAGCTAAATGGTTAAAGAATCATACACATTACAAGTGATTGGCAAATCCTTAGAGCAGAATTGTAGCACTGTTGGTGAATTTGCTGGTTTGCACAAAAGTCTCTCTGGAGTCATTCCAACAGGTCAGAATCCAAAGGCAGCTTATGAGTAGAATTGTTAAAAATCTTCCCATGCATTTCCCTAGATATCCCAAGTAAATACTTAGAAGATCACAATCCCGTGGCTTAAACTTTCCCTGTTCAAAGTTCATCACACTAGAGATGCAGGATAAGGCCTGAGGTTTCTCTTTTATAGCTGAAACAGGCTGTTAGTGTTTTGAGCACAGCATGCAATGTTGGGGCCGTGAGCTCTCACCCACCTATCCTTGGGAGTTAACATTCCTTTTCCAGTGTGTCCACAGCAAGGGAATAGCCATGAGTGGGCCTGAGTGGACCGTGGCCCACCCACTTTGCATCCAGTCCCGTCCTGTACTAGCCTGCCTGGTGCTCCAGCCTGGGAGTGGGAGCAGGGCACAGAGACTTACCTCGCTCCACCCAGTGAGCCAGCTGGAGAACAGGGTTGGGACATGGGGGACTTACTCCACTCCGCCACAGTACTCCAGGCAGGGAGCAAGGTCGGGGTGCCAGTGCTTACCATGCTCTGCTCAGGCACTCCAGCTGGGGAGCAGGGTCAGAGTTTAGGGGCTGCCCCACTTTATCCCAGTGCTCCAGCTGGGGAGCAGGAATAGCTGGGCAAGAACCCTCTGGAACACTGCTCCCAGGCTGGATCGCTGGCAGGCAGCAGAATAGGCATCCTTGGGTCCCCTGGTCAGCATGTCCATTCCTCCCACCCCACAGACAAGTTGGGGTGGGGGGAAGGTGGCCATCCCTCCTGTCCTGCTCACCTCTGTCCCCCATTCTTGCCTATGCACCCAAAGTGAGATTCACTTTCCTTCTAGCTATACCTGTGAACCAGTGGTGATCTAGTTACACTGGATTGCATAAGGGAATGGCTGATCATTCAGTATAAAAAGGGATAAATAAACTGAAGACAGTATAGATAATATTACCAGTTTCCTGCAGTCTTTGATCTTCAGATAAGCTGAACACTGTCGCATACATAAAGTAAAGGCAATTAAAACATGGAAAGGATTTAGTATCTACATTATTTACATTAGTAAACTAACGATATAGATATAGTCAAACACATGTATCATTTACCTTGATCTCTTTTACTACTATTAATGAATGGGTTAGTGATTGCTGCTCGGTTGCACCTGTCCAATAGTCACACAGACATGAATTGTACTGATTACAATTGCAATGTCTTTTTTAAATAACGGGTGACACACAGGGACTAGCAGACTTGCCACTGTAACAAAATACTAAATGTTGCAATCCCAAGATGATCACCATGTGATCACCATGTTAGATTAGTGAAAAATAACAGGTGCAGTCTTGCAAATTAAGGAGTTGACATGCTAGACGGGGGAAAAAAACACATTATGGGTCATCTGATATTTCTAATCTTTTAGCTTCTGGTTTCAGCTGTTCTATCCCGTGTAGATAGAGAGAAAATGCTTTATAAGCACTTCAGAACTATTTGCTATTTCTAAATAGCAAATCCTTTCAAAGTATAGCAAAGAGTTTACAAAATATTCTCTAAAGTCCACCAATTCTACTTAACGATTCTGACAATATAGTTCCTGTATCCTTACCTTCTCATTAATGAGATCTTCCAGCTCTGGGGAGAATGACACCCTTCCACTTCAATCATATGCCTTTACTCTTGGCTTCATTTTTTCTAATTTAAGATGTCCCAGTTCGTAAAGGAACCCTTGAAATATGGGTGAAATGTAGGATTTGAAGGCTGCAAATGTCTTTCCATCTAAGTAATCCTCCCAACTAGAGCTGTGTGAACCTATAATAAAAAAAAGTCAGAACTGATTAGAAGTAGCCAGTGTGGGTTTTCTGTGGGCCCATGGAACTCATGATAGCTTTCACATAGCTCCTACATCTGTTAGTTAACTTGGAGCAAGATTTGAACAAGTCTAACTGAATTGTGAAAACAGGTGGATAACAACAGAATTTCTGTAATCACATTTCTACTTTGTTGTGAGGACTTTTTGCTTTGTTTCAACAGGAAACTCAAAAATAAGCCTCAAGGGACTATGAACTCCCAGGAAAAGCTACATGAAAAGGTTCAGCTGAAGTTGTCTAAATGGTGAATTTGGTTCACAAAACTCCACTGCCAACACCTGTGAGTACAAGTGAGATACCAAGATGAAGATGGAACATAGGTACCTGCACAGTGCGGATAGGGATTAATCCAAGTGCATGAGGCAGACTCACCTGCAACATTCAGATCTTCCACTCCATAAATCTCATGTGAGGGGATTTTGGAGAAAAGTCACAATAGACTATACTAAGAGTTCAACCAAACAGTGTTCAATTAATAGAGGGCCTGCCTCAAATACAGTAGTCCCCCTAAGCTCCATGGAAGTCCTGTGCCTCTTCATCACCAGAGCTCCATTGGAGGAGGACTAATAGGGACTTTCCTGGCGGTGGCTGTTTCTGGGACACCCAGAAAGATCTCAAGGAAATTCAGGACAATTGGGGGACTGGATTCATGTCTCCAGGGAATCCCCTGGGGTTGGGGAACCTTTTGTCCTTGGCTGCTCAATTTCCCAAGAGTCTACTAAAGGCAGGTAGTGCCATGGAAACAGCTGAGCTCCCACCTCATAACACAGGAACCTAGCTTAAAAGCTACATTTGTTAAGAAAAAAACGTTATGTAGAGATCTAATATTTCAAGAAGACAAAGTGATCTTCAGATTTTCAAGTTTATAATAGAAATACTAAACATTACATTTTAACCAGGGTGAGATTGGAACCATTGAGTCAAGCTATATGTAAAGTGGTGCACTGGATCAAGCAGTGAAAACAGTTTTGTATTCATCAAGTTCTCTTCCTCAAGGCATTATGCTATACATTCTGGAATGAGCTTGTCACAACAAAGTAATGTCTCATCCCAAAAAAATAGTTCCACTGAACTTTGTGGGACTACATTTAATACTAGGAGGAACTGTACCAGCATAAAAAAATAATGTACTATGTTCTCTTCATGTGTCTGACTGGGTCCATAGTCACATCACTATACCTTACACATGACCAGGGCAGAAACAAGCAGTGCTCCTTGCCTACTTGAAAGGACCACTTCACCCTGTCATAGCACAACAAATACTGTACACATACACATTTATAGTGACATTTGTACACTCAGATTTTCAGTAGACAATGTATCATATGAAGAATGACTTTTCTTTGAAAACTAACCAAACATACCTACGTTTACTGCAGGTATTGTTACAATTACCGGTAGAGGGAAATGTCAGTTAATAGTGCTTTGCTAATGAATTTCTCACATAATAAAAATCTGCCTGCTTAATTTACACTAAAAAGCATTTGCTTTTGTACAGTTATCTACTACTCCTCTGAAGTTAGCAGAACTGTTTATTAAATGAGGCATTTCACTGTATAATGTTTGATCCGCCCCCAGTTCTCCTCTATACACACACCCACACACCCCAACTTGAATGTCTTTAGGTTTGTGAACTATTTAGTTTAGTCTTCTTTTCCTTTGGTCATTTTGCAATATGTTCAGACTAAGCTGTTGGCCAACCAACTTTGAGCTAACTACCCACGACCTTCAGCTGTATTTCAGAACAGAATATTCACCCTCATTGCGATCTGTTCAAAACTGAGCATTGCTGAATAAGGTAGGGATCCAGCTCTAAATTTAATTTCTGGTAAAAGCAATATAAAAGGAAACAATTTATTTGGACAAAAGCAAATTCAGTTCAAATTAGAGCAAGGGACAGAAGAAAAATATTGAAACAGTGGGCAGAGCACTTAAAGGTTAAGGGTTAACGATTAATGGGTAACCTTTCCTTCCAAAGTATTGATAGTCTTCCATGTCTCTTTGGCAGCAGAAAATTGGAAGTGAAAGCCTCAGTTCTCGTGTGGAGAGAGAAGAAATGAAAAGTTTGTCATTTCTTTCACTTTTGTTGCTTTTATTCATCTTTACTCAAGCAAATACACATGGATGGAAGAGAAAAGGTAATATACTAACTGATATAATTAGCAATCATGGTTTTTGTTTCAAAGTTTGTGCTATAAAGATTGAGCTACTGACCTCTGGGACTCTAAATGCTTTTTCTAACATTGTGTTCTCTTAATCAAATGCATGACCATTAAAATAACATTTCTAACTGTCTGTATTTATTAGAAAATGTAACTGCTTTTAATGAAAGGAAACTGTTCTGAAAGAATGTAAGGTAATCTGACCTCTAACATGTTTGTTGACAGTTAAAATATGTATTTGCTTGAAGACTCTCTTGAACCAATAGTGCAAAGTGCTCTGATGAAGAATATTTTCTGAAACAGGAGAAAAGGTCTCCAGAAATTTTACAAATTGCCTCATTAATTTATTTATTGGTAGTATGTAATTGGGTTGAAAAGGATACATTTTTTAAATCTTATGCCAGAGGAGCTGTGTATAGAATCATTAAGGTGGTGCACCCCCTTTTTCCATAGGATTTTGTCACTTTATGTCAGAGTTTCCCTTTGATTTTTGGAATATGGCACAACCACAAAACTCAAGTACTAAACCTCTCTACTTTGTCAAAGTTAATTTTATATTCAACCTGTTAAACCATACATTCTAAGTAGCAGAAATTTTCCAAAACTTTAAATCTGGAGGGGATCATTTATTTTCCTCCGAAGAATGAAGTGAGAGGTAGAGTTGTGAATCTACAGAAGAAGGCTGTCCTTTATTGATAGCTGTAATAAAGGTTTGTGATTTTATATTAACTATTCTATTAACTATTCCCTGAACAGAGGATACTATACACATCACTTGCAGAGTGATTCCAATTTAGGGGCAGGGGATTCTTCACCCCAAGCTTCACTTTGCATTTCAGGTCTGATATGACAAAACCTTGATGAAAAACCTCATTCAGTCAAAACCAATTTCACTCAAAATTATAATGTGTTCCAGGTTCCCACACAGCTAGAGCCATAGGTACTTGAAAGGTTTGAAACACTTAGCAAAAACACTAACAGGCCTACACTGCGTTTTAAACTTTGAATACAACTCATATGGGAGTTGTTTCTAATATGAGGTTTATAATGTAAACTTTGCCCAGCTTCATTCAGAACCTTGTGTGTTGAAAGTGCAGTTCATTCATCAAAAACATGACAGCAAGTTACCGGATTCCAGTTCTGCTAAGGTTCGAGAGCTCACTTGATGCCTGGGCCCATTCTCCCATGCTTGCCATCTCTGGCACCTTTGATAACAAGATCGCCATTCTTTTTTGTAGTCTAGGCACAATTATGTCAATAGACTCCACTTTGCTTCCCTAGCTTAGAATCTACCTAGTCTTCCAAGAAGCATATTCAGCATGTGTCCCATTAGAATTAGCAGGCACATCCAAGTTAGTGTCTCATATTTAAATATAATTCTTTGATTCAGGAACCAAGCACAGGCAAAGCTAAAAAATATATATGTAAAATCTGCTCTTTTTATTCTCCTCTGTACAGACATGGCTACAATGGTCTGCAGAGTTTAGTTACAAAGGTTAAACTCTGGTTGCAGTAGCCTTGCATACCAGAGTCAGATTCTTGTCTCATATCAGTTTTACATCATTATAACTCTTGACCTCAATGGAGTTATTCTCAATTATTCAGGTAACAACCATTCTTCTAAGGCTGTCTCTACACTGGCATCCCTTCCGGAAAAGGGATGCCAATGTAGCACTTTGGAATAGGCAAATACATGGGGGACTTAAACATCCCCTGCATTTGCATTTACATGGCTGCCGCTTTTTTCCGGCTTGGGGATAAGCCAGAGAAAAGCGCCAGTCTAGACGTGATTCTCCAGAAAATAAAGCCTACTTTCAAGTAGGAATAAGAGATCCTCCGGAAAAGGCTTTATTTTCCGGAGAATCATGTCTAGACTGGCGCCTTTCTCCGGCTTATCCCCAAGCTGGAAAAAAGCGGCAGCCATGTTAATGCAAATGCCGCGGGGGATATTTAAATCCCCCGCGGAATTTGCAATTCCGAAGTCTACATTAGCATCCCTTTCCCGGAATGGGGTGCCAATGTAGACACAGCCTAAGTGTCTGGTTTGAAATGCATAGAATGACACTCCTTTCAACTACAAGTTCAAAGCCAGTGAGGTTAGACTTAGCCCTTCACCCTTCCCAGGCAGGGAAATTGAGTACCATGTAGTTTATTGTGTGAGGATATTTAGGATGGGAACTTAAAAGTTAAAGACACGAGCAGATGCCATTTAATTCAGTGGAATTTGTGGGTTGCCTCAGAACAATCAGGCTCTTCAATTTAGGACATCTAAATATGGACTTAGGAATTAAAGTTTAGATACCCACGTTTGAAAATGTTGATCCAAGAATTGGTCTTACTCTGCTTGGATGTTGAAGATTAAGATCCCGTTACATTCCCTGTGTTCTTTGCCAAAACTCCCCAGTTCCCATTGTTGGACAATGTTCTATGCATTTGTTGGCTGTTGCCTTATACCTACAGGTGGCTATGTTTCCTTACAGATACTGTATATAAGTACAGCAGCAATAAGAGTTTTATCATCTAAATAGGGGTATGTCTACACTACTACCCTAGTTCGAACTAGGGTGGTTAATGTAGTTATTCAAAGTTGCAAATGAAGCCCGGGATTTAAATATCCCAGGTTTCATTTGCATCTTGCCGGGCGCCACCATTTTTAAATCCCCGTTAGTGCAGACTCCATGCCCGCAGCTACACGCGGCACAGAGAAGGTAGTTTGAATTAGGCTAATTCGAACTACCGTTACTCCTCGTTCCACGAAAATGTAACTGCTCGTTCCACGAGGAGTAATGGTAGTTCGAATTAGCCTAATTCAAACTACCTTCTCTGTGCCGCGTGTAGCTGCGGGCATGGAGTCTGCACTAACGGGGATTTAAAAATGGTGGCGCCCGGCAAGATGCAAATGAAACCTGGGATATTTAAATCCCCCGCGGATTTCCCTATTACGATCTCAAAAATTACCATGCCCCTTCCGGAAAAGGGGCCAATGTAGACGAGCCCATGATGTTTACCACTGGCTTAAGTAGCATATTTTGTCATAGAAAAATTATGCTGAATCTACTAGAAGTTTCAGGGTTAATAGTGGAGTTGCATTAACTACATTAATAATGCAGTTTTCAACTTTATATTGCCCAGCGGAGTAGTCTTAGCATAATGACCTCTTTTCCTATGTATTAGCTACAAATAAGAATGGTTTGCTGAAGCTGATTCAGGCTTCATATGTAGAGCTTGGCAGTATTTGGATGGGCCAGTAGCCACTTCCAAGCAGCATGCATAAGATTTCCTGGCAGAATAAGCAATAACTGGCAAAAGAGACAAAAGGGGCCAGCTAGCTACATATGCCAAGACTGGGCAATAAAATCCATTTTAGCAATTGGCCAAAATGAATTATGATCCTCTTCAGAGAGATGTGAAAACTAACCCTTATTACTCAGCTTTTAAAATATTTACTGATGAATTTCTCTCTAAAATGGTCTACTCCACAATGCATTTGTGAAAACCAAAGGCAGCTTATACAGTAACTCTCAGGGTACGTCTACACTACAACGTTAATTCGAACTAACTTAGTTCGAATTAGTTAATTCGAACTAAGCTAATTCGAACTAACGCGTCTAGAACTAAAAACTAGTTTGAATTAGCGTTTTGCTCATTCGAACTAGCAAGTCCACATTGAGTGGACCCTGAACAGGGCTTAAGGATGGCCGGAAGCAGTGCCGGTAGGGCATCAGAGGAGGACTTAGAGCGTGGAGATGCTGTCTCAGGCTAGCCGAGGGCTGCGCTTAAAGGGTCCCAACCCCCACCCCGGACAGACAGTTCTAAGGGGTGCCCCGCTTGCAAAGCAGTCCTGGCTTGGATTGCCCGGAGTACCCACACTGGGCACATCACACCACTCGGCCATCAGCCCGGCTGCACTTGCCGCAGGCTGCCATCTGGGGAGAAGGGGCAATCAGGGGGCATCCACCCCCAGAAGCCCGCAGAGCCAGCCCAGTCCTCCCCATCAGGGGCTC